AGAACTTAAGACTTCTAAAAGATCTTCCCGTGTGTCGTTCTGGAAAGCATTTCAATCTTGCGCTCAAACTAGGACGCTAAATGCTAAGACTGATTTCTTTACTTGTATGAGTTTAAGAAAGTGGAGACTCTCTTGTCTCGGATTTTGATACTTGTATGTGTGTGTGTGTTTATGTATGTCTGTATGCATGTATGTGTATGCATGTGAGAATGTGTATGCACATGTGTTTGTAGGGCATGCGTGTGTGTTTGCGTGTGTAAGGAAAGAAGAAAAAGAGCAACAATATCAAGGACAAAAAGGATGCGAGAAAGAAAAAAAGAACAAGAAACATATTTAGTGGGTTGAAGAGAGAGAGAGAGAGAGAGAGAGAGAGAGAGAGAGAGAGAGAGAGAGAGAGAGAGAGAGAGAGAGAGAGAGAGAGAGAGAGAGAGAGTTGGGATGAGGTGGCTTGTGATTTTTTTCCCACCCTGAGACAAATCATTACAGCACTGTTTTCTTGTCCTTTTCCTACTCTGAATGACCAATGATGATAGAGCCTATCTTTTCCTCAAACCCACTCTAAATGATCGTGATTGTATGGATATTCTTTTTTTTTTTTCCAAACTCAAAGCTCAAAATGACCCTTATCGTTTCAATGTGCTTTTATTTTTCTCAAACTCAAACCCCCCAAAAACCTTTATTTTGTCGATGTTTTTTCTTTCTCAAACCCAAAACTCAAAATAACCACCACTGTGTCGATGTTCTCTTTTTTTTTGAAACTCGAAAATTCAAAATAACCGCCATTGTGCCGGTGCCGATGTTCATCTCTTTTCTCCTCTTCACTGGAACAGCGAAAGTGAACTAAACCAAACTCACCTAGACCCCCGACTGACCAATTACTGTACGTTATGTAATAATATATAATAATAGTAACAATAATAATATTATTATTATTATTGTTATGGAGTGCGAATAAAAAATGCGTTCAAATTCTTGTGGTCTTTTCATTATCTCCGCTGGCATTATGCTGGACTGTACTACGGATTACCTTTTTTCAAACTTATGACGTGTTTTTTCTTTAAACTTGATTTTTGTGTGTGGAAAGTTTTCAAGGTTCTCCGCCATCTTGGCTCGTTAATACCTTGGATGAAGGTTAAATCCGAAATTCTCCCCCC